CTTTCTGCTTTCTACCATCACTCCCTGGGAGTAAAGGCATGTGTCACCATGCCTGGCTGTTTCTAATGTGGCCTTGAACTCACAGAGATCCCAGATGGATTTCTGCCTCTGGAGTGCTCGGATTAAAGGTGTGAGTGCCACCATTTTCTGGCCTTTGTATCTAGTGGCTATTCTGTCTCTGACCCCAGATAAGTTTATTAGGGTACACAATATTTTAGGGAACACAATACCACCACAAGTTGGCACTGATTGTAGGCAGGGTTTTCCTGTCCTGAGCGCCTGCTTCCAAATAACCCACAGCTGCTTCCCAAATAACTGACTTGGAGACTTAATATAAATTATAAATGCTCAGCTGATAGCTCAGGCTTGTTACTAGCTGACTCTTACACATAAATTAACCCATATTTCTTATCTATGCTTTGCCACGTGGCTTGATACCTTTTCTCAGTACAGCATGCCCATCCTGCTCTCTCTGCACCTGCCAGCAACTCCTCTGACTCCAGTGACTGCCCTTCTTCCTCCCAGCATCCTCCTAGTCTGGTTTTCCTGCCTAACCTCCTCCTGCCCAGCTATAGGCCAGTGAGCTCTTTATTAGCTAATGTGAGTAATACATATTCATAGTGTACAGGATTATTCCACAAAACTGGATCCCCTGGAACTGGTGATGAATGGTTGTGAGTTGCCATTGTGGGTGCCAGGAACTGAATCTGGGTCCTCTGCAAGAGCAACAAGTGCTCTGAACTACTGAGACATCTCTCTTTCATCAATTTTTTAAAACTTTATATGTATGTGTGTGTACTTATATGAGTTTATGTATATACCACATGCCTTTGGGAATCTGCAGAGTCCAGAAGAATGTGTCAGATCCCCTGAAACAAGTTATAGATAGTTGTGAGCTGCACCACATGGGTGCTGGGAATCAAACCGAGATCCTCTGGAAAGGGCAGCCAGTGTTCTTTGTTTAGGTGGGAGATCCACCTCAACCCCTGGCACCCTGGCATCCCTATACCCAAAGAGTCTGGAATGTTCTGGTAGAAGATCCACCTCAACTCCATTCCCCCATCTCTTTCCCTAAACCCACCCCTTCAAAGCCCACCAAGCACAGCGCCTCCCCCAGAGAGGCTCAAGACCATTCTCACAGGGTGTATAAGCTGCATCCCAGAAAACAGACACATGGTTTTCCGGTCTCATCCCCATCTCCTCTCTGGGGGGCCAGAGAATCACCCAGGAATGCTTTACCCATTAAACCAAGGCTTTTTCTAATTCAGTCTGATTTGGATTGCTGCGTCGGCAGAGGCCTATCGGGGTGCAAAAACCTTTCACTCTTGACCGCTGAGCCATCTCTCAGACTCTCATGCTACTTTTTTTTTTTTTTTCCCTTCTCAAATATGGTTTCTCTACATAGCCCTGTCTGTCCTGGCATTCACCATATAGATAGACCTGGCTGGCCTCAAGCTCACAGAGGTCTTCCTGCCTCTGCCTCCCAAGTGCTGTGATCAAAGGCCTGCGCCACCATACCTGGCTCATGTTACTACTTTGTTAATGCCCATGAGTATCTGCTTCTGTCCTGAGTGTCCTGCCAATGCTGTTCAGTTCTTCCAGACATCTCCTTTTAAATGTAGAAGTTCAAAAAGAGAGCTGGAGAGATGTTCAGCAGTCAGGAGCACTGGCTGCTCTTCAGAGGACCTGGTTTGAGTCTCAGCACCCACACGGTGTCTGATAGCCATCTGTAACTTCAGTTGCAGGGGATCTAATGCCCTCTTGTGGCTTCTGTAGGCACTGCACACACATGGTACACATACATGCATGCAGGCAAAGCACCATACACATAAAATAATAATAATAATAATAAAAAAAAAAGATCCAAAAGGTGAAGTGACTTGGCCAAGGTTGCCCAGCTGCCAGAATTGCCACAGCACGCTTTGTCTGCTGACCCCACAGTGCCTGTTGCCGTCTCTTTCCACCTGCTCTAGGCCCCACAAAGACGCATGGCTGTGGGTGCTACAGCTCCACCTGTTCATCCTCACAAGCAAAAACACGTGTGTCTGTCACTCAGCGCTCAGGAGCCAGAAGCAAAGTTTGTCACATGCCGGGTGTCTTCTGGAAGACATTCCGTCGCCTTTCCTCTTCCTTTGTGCAGTTTATGTGATGTGACCGTTTCCTGTGTGGCCTCTTCACGTCATTCACATGTCCAAGGCCTCTTTCACATCTGCAGTTCTTTGCACATACTTGGGTGTTTCCCTGCTTGTCTTTTAGGTGTTTTGTTTTGTTTTGTTTGAGGCATAAGTTACCCTGTGTAGCCCAGACTGGCCTCAGACCCTCCTTGATCCTCCTGCCTCAACCTCCTTGGCACTAGGATTATGAGTGTGGTTCCCCATGCCTACTCCCACCAGCCTCTAACTCAGTGTAGCTGAGACTGATCTTGAACTCCTGATCCCCCTGTCTGCCTCCAAATGTTGAGATTTCAGGTGCACACCTGGCCTGGTTTCTGCGAGGTTGGGAATCCACACCAGGGCTCTTGTACCTACAAAAGCACTCTACCAACTGAACTACATCCAAGTCCCACTCCATTTACTTTTTTTTTTTTCAAGACAGGGTTTCTTTGTAGCTTTGGAGCCTTTCCTGGAGCTCACTCTATAGACCAGGCTTGCCTCAAACTCAGAGATCCACCTGCCTCTGCCTCCTGAGTGCTGGGATTAAAGGCGTGCACCACCACCACCCGGCTACTTTTTGTTTTGTTTTGTTTTTCAAGGCAGGGTTTCTCTCAGTAGCCCTGGCTGGCCTGGAACTAATTTTGTAGACCAGGCTGGTCTCATATTTACAGAGATCTGCCTGCCTCTGCCTCCCGAGTGCTGGGATTAAATGCACCACCACCACCTGGCTCCCATTTACTTTTTAAAGATAGGCTCTCACTGGGGCTTGAGAGATGGCTCAGCAGTTAAGAGTACTGATTGCTCTTCCCAGATGGACCTGGGTTCAATTCCCAGCACCCACATGGCAGCTTACAACTGTCTGTAATTCCATTTCCAGGGATCAGCATTCTCATACATACATGCAGGCAAAGCACCAATGCACATAAAATAAAAATAAATAAAGTTTAAACAAAACAAAAGATAGGCTCTCACTGATCCCAGAGCTTGCAGAGTGACTAGGCTGGCCGCCCAGTGAGCCCGGAGTCTGTCTGTCTCCTCATCGCAGCACTGTGGCTACAGACAGGTGCCACTGTGGTTCAGGGAATCCCAACTTGGGTCTTCACGCATTTAACCTTAACCAAAAGGATGAGGCTCATTCAGGTCCTCGCTAAGGCATGTCCCCATCCCCGGTTACTGTGCTGTGACAAAGGGTTTTGTATGTAGACTGAGCTAGCCTTGGACCTAACGTGGCCCCCCTGCCTCTGCCCCTCGGGCCGGCTGGGGTCTCAGGCTCGCACCGCTCCACCCAGCTGTGACGGTTGTTTTGTCTCCTCCAAGTCAAGAGATAGTGAAGACTTCACCCAGAACGTGACATCGGGGCTTCCCAGGGGAGCCCAGGGAATTGGGGGGGCGGGCACTGCAGGACAGGAGAGGCTGTGTCTGTAACCAGGGTGAAATGCGCCATGCCGAAGCCTCCGGCCTCTGCCCAAGGACATGCAGGCTTTTCCACCTTCGGCCTTCCAGATTCAGGACACCGAATTGGCCCCATGTAATTGTTTATTTTCAGGAGAGGTAAGCCAGGCCGGGGCCACCTAGCATGGGTTGCACATGGAGTGTTAATCTTAGTTTTTACCTAAAATGAGTGAAGCCAAAATCAGGTGTGCTGGTTCATGCCTATAATCCCAGGACCCAGAAGGCTGATAGAGGAGGACTGCTGTGCATTCAAGGCCAGCCTGGGCTACATAGTGAGTCCTGTACTGAGCCGCTGTGTGAAACACTGTCTCAAAACAATAACAACAAATGAATTTGGCAGTGCCCATTTGTTTCTGGAGGGGGGTCACTTTCTGGACTGAGGGCTCCCAGGTTCCTTGTGTCTTTTTCAGAAACCTAAGAACCACACAGTGACAGACAGCAGAGTGACCTCAAGGCCAACACAGAATCAGAGCCATC